GGTGCTATGCCGATTTGGTAATCCTGCAAATAAATAATTGAAAACGCTTGATCAAATCATTCTCAGGCAAGACCAAAACCTGCATTTTTAAATTTTTTTTAATATTCTTTACCTTGTGCTCAGCTGCAGCATTTTCATCCCCAGGGTCGGGTGCTGGTTTGGAATAATCTCCGGACGACAGGCCGTAGCCCAGTTTGGCCCTGTGAGAGATGACCAAATATGAACTCATCGCACAGACGGCGAAAGTGAGAAGCTCAATTGGACATCACGTGGATACAAAGAAGAGACACTCACACTTGGATTTTGAAATCTTGAGTGGGGTCACTCGGGGCCTCGTCCATTATCTTGTCCATGTTGGACACATACCTGGAACGCAAACAGATTCTAAAGTGACGTCATTACCACAACAGATTATGCAAACTCAGCCGTTTTGCATTTTGTATTGAACATAATCATAAATACGATTCCACCAGAAAAGAGAACGAGTAAAATTTTGAGATTTTTATTGGACCCCCCCCCCCCAAAAAAAAAATCCTTGCTGTAGCAGCTCAAAAACATTCAGATTCATTTTCACTGTGCGGAAAAGCCAATAAACAGGAGGAGAAGGCGGAGCAGGAGGGATACTAACTTGCTCACGAAGTCTGGAACGGTGAAGAGCACTTGCATGACGGAGTTGAGGTAGCAGCTGTTGCCCAGGTTCTTCATGCCGGTCAGGCCGGGCCCGAACAGCGGGCGCAGGGTGGTCCCGGACTCTTGGATCACCTCCCACTCGCCGACGCGCTGGTTCACGGCGATCTCCAGCTCTGTCATGGTCCGCTCGGTCTGACAAGGTGCATGCGCACGTGCGAAAGCTCGGATTGAGCGACCATGCTGATCATGTTGTGACGGTGTGCGATTACCTTCTCCATGGTCATCATGTCGATGCCAAAGTGAGAAAGATGCTCGGGTAACTTGGAGTCCAGCACCATGTCATCCTCGTCGTAAGAGTAAACATCTGGAGGCGGAAATGAATTCGGTAAGGCCGCATTTTCTGACCGAATTCTTTCGATCGGCGTCGTCTCACCTGCTCCGTCTGGGGTGATGGTTCCCAGTTTGACCGCCAGCGGGTATCCCGTCTCTTGGAAGTAGAGCAGGGCGTGGTTGTTGCCGCCCGAGCCGTCGAAGTACCTGCGACCGCAAAGCACCTTGCCGTCCGTCAGGTTCATCCAGAGATTCTCCTGGAGGCCGCACACTTCGCATCGCCAGCCACTATCGCACGGAGGAGCACACGTGATGACAGTGAACGGGACTCAAGCACACATCTAAAAGTCCATGTCTATGAACATCAGACAATTGGAGACAGAAAGATGCAAGCGTGGAAAATTAAACCGACGCGAGACAGCATTATCCACTCCTTGCAGAGTCAAAGCTCAAAATTCCGCTTGTCCTCATTGGAGCTCCCCCACCACAAATCTAAAAAAATTGGAGACCCTTTTTTCCCCCCGAATGGGAACAATTGCTTCGAAAATACAAACAAATTTAATGTGTACCATCTGAAAAGTGACTGCGCTCTCAATCAACAGTGGCCTGAAGGAGCCTGGCGGTGACGTCAGGGCTTACCTGGGCGGGATCTTGACGCCATTGTCAAGTTGCTTGAGGTCGGCGGCAAACCGTGACTCCTGTCTCACCTCGCCATCCCACTGTTGTACTTGCAAGGCGTGAGACACTGAGTCGGCCGCGATGATGCCCGCCATTGACAGTGATACCTTTGTGGGGCATGGGAAAAATTAGCTATCTACATTTTTTATTTTAAATTATAAGATCAAGGATGCTTTCCTTGTCGAAACAAACATAGTGGATTGGAGTTTATTTGCTGTACACTAGTAAATTGCCATTGAACTGTTGTAACATTTCAGTAAATAATTTTGATAAATTTCTCTAATACAATTTTTTTAACTTAGGTATATATATATATATATATATATATATATATATATATACACACACACACACACACACACACACACACACACACACACGCCTTTTTTTTAAGATTTTGCCAATTTTATAATCGTTGAGGTTAATAATCATAATTGAATTGCAATTAATTGCAATTACAATAACCTCAGAATAACTCACCCGCTCTTTCACAACGTCGGGCATGGCTCCGAGGTCCTCCGATGTGACTTCCTGTCTTTCAGGAAAAATGACAACCTTGTAGTCCTCCTCATAGTGCTCCTGCTCCACATCAAAACCGCCTTCGATGCCTGGTTAGATCATAAATTTGACAAATGCTAAAATACAGACATAAAGTACACACAGTAAACAGTATATTGACATTTGCATTTACAACAGCACCTTGAAGGTAACATTTGAAACTCTACCGGGCAAAATGCCTTAAATGTGGCAAAAAATGTTGTCATAAAGCATCATGTCAACATAGCACGTGAGCTACCAGGGCACCTCAAAAGGATTAATTGCGTGCGTTGCTTTTTCTGTTGACTTTTTGTGACATCTTTCACAAGAAACAATAAGACTGTTTTTGCTGTCCATTGCTTTTTTTTCCCCCCCAAAATTAGCAAAAGTTTCAGTGTTTGTCAGTGGGAAATGATCGGCAGAGGTCATTTGGATGCCAACACAAAAATGTTTATTTTACCAAGTAATGTTTAATACCACTTATATTTCCTTATTTTCCCTCCAAATCCTGGCAGTGTTCACATTTTTGGTTCCAATGCTCAGTTTCCGTTTTACATTTGTCACATACTCAAATATACAACTATAAACGGGGGATGAAATGCTAATTCATTAGAAAAGTTCTCACTCGCCCTTGACCTTATGTGGCCTTTTACAGAAAATGGATGGCTGGTATGAATTTGAATTCAAGAAGTGGCAAGTGATATTTTGGATGAACACATCTATCTAACAAGCAGAGGGTGTGAGTTCAAATCTGTGTTGCTGCATTCATCCCACATTCCAAAAGCATGCATGTTCGGTTCTTGAAGACCCTAACTTGTCCATACGTATGAGTGAGTGGTTGTTGTGCCTAATGAGTGACTGCCAACCAGCCAAGGTTGAGCTGAGATAGGCTCCAGGCCAAACACCATACAAAATGAATGGTGAAGGAGACATTTTGAATTGAATGTCGATTAAATTAGAGTGTCAACCTTCAAAGTACTACTGTGAACTACTTGAAATCAATATGCTTCCATGTTTCACCTATAGCCAATCTGGTGGGCTTCTTCTTCGGCGGATGTCCCGATCCAGAGTTATTATCGTCTTCCTTCTGAGAGACAAAAGAAATTATTGCCGATTGTGTCAACTCATACACTGATAAACATTTAAGGACACCACGTGTGTTTACCTTGGCCTTGCGAGTCCTTGTGATGTGCAAGTAAGCCCTCTGACCAGCCCGAGCATGGTGCCTCTCCACATACTGACTTCCAAAGCCTAGGAAGCTGTTCATGCACACGTACAAGCCTCCTTCGCTTTCCTGGGAAATCAAATAGACATTTTACAGACACTCCGGGCGCAACCTGTCCACGCCTCCTCCATGACCAAAAGACGTTGAGAAGTTGGCAGCGATGTCGCTAACTTGCCTTCCCACAGTCAACCTGTCACACCGCGAACTGATGGAGAAAACTGCGAATTCATGTTATTGTTTCTAAGTGGATTACAGTGTAAAAAAAAAGAGGGCAACACCAGTGCATGAGATACTTTGGCGAAATTCCGTGTGAGAGTGGAGCTGCAAGCTAACATGCTAAAGCAGCTGTTTCCCCATTACGCTTATGGCGCTCTATTAGCTTAGCTTAACGTTCTCAGGATAGTTAACGGGAGCATTTAAAGTAACTGAAGCACGACACCTTTTTAAGGTACCGTCAGAATAAAAAGGGACCGCGACGAAAGGCAGCGTGGAACGGTCAAACGGTGTTCCCCTTGGCTGGAAAACGAATAGAAAGAGAAAGAGCGAGGCTGTTGCTCACCGGGGAGGAAAATGACAAGGCGCATTCATCTTTGTGGACACGGTCCCCGGGCTTCGGTACCCGAATTGTGGACAAAACCGACATCAAAACCTCGCTGACGTCCGCCATGACAAGTTAGCTGGTGCCAACGTTCGGGAAGTGTGCGTGAGTCCACCGGGCACCGTAATTCGACCGGTTCGGAGTGAGTGTGCGTCGCTGAAACCCGTCAAATGCTGCGCGTGTATTGGGCTTGAATGAACCATGAGACGCCGCTGCCGAGTGTTGTGGGAAGGCCGTGAACACAGCTGCTTCGCAGGTACTACCGTAACTATCGCAATACGCCCCTATTCCATGAATGGATTTGCGTTCCCTTAAAGGCTAAACGCACATGTTTTTCTATTTGCATGTCTTTCTACTTAAAAAACGCAGTACTTGAAATTGTAGCGACTACTCTTATTTTGGATGGATTGGATTAAATGAGTGTGTTCAAACAACGTGTGATGAACGATGCCTTTTGGGATGTTTACGGTTAATGGCTGTTGGGCACAAACACAGCCATCACCGTAACTATTGCAATACCGGCCACTAACATAAAGTGAGATGCGTTCATTTGAGGGTTCATCAGTTTTACGCATATTTTGTTATTCGGAAGTCGGAACCAACATGAAAATGCTCTGTTTGTAGTGACTAGTATACTCTATACGTTTTGTGATTGTTACGGTAATACCGGTAACGCAAAGTGTTGCTGTAACGATTACGATACACGCGTCCATTTTGAATGGAAAGCCGGCATTTTAAAGCTGTTAACGCACTTACTCTGTTGTTAAGTCATAGAACTATAATACTAAAATAGGGGGAGTTTTTATAACACTGCCTAACTTAGAGAGTTCAAAACAAGGTGATTTCATGTTGTAAGAGTTACGGTAATAGCTCCAAAAACAAACTATTGCCGTAACTCTTACAGTAAACGTTTCATCAGCGAATGGGAAGGCGGATTTTAAAGCTTTTATTCCACTAGAACGCACATGTCGAGTCTTTTAACGCATATTATTAAATCGTTTTAAAATTACCATACTCGTTGATGGTTATGACACTGCCTAACTGAGAGTGAATGTAAGAAGCGTTGACTCCGTGTTATGATAGTTACGGTAATAGCGTAGCAACGACACGCAGCGCTACCAAGCGACCCCTCGCGGTACAGCAAGTTCCACCTCGTTCCCAAACTTTCCCACCGACGTGGTCTCTCCTCTTCTGCGTGACCATGGCGCTCTCCCCCGACCTCTTCGCTGTATACGTGGCGTCGCAAGTGCTTTTTCTATGCGGAGGATCGGTCAGTTCGGACGGCGTTTCGTCGCTGCTGCAACCCTATGACTTTTTATACTACACTGGGGTGCGTTCGTACTTCAACGGGCAGTGGGCGAAGGCTGCGGAGCTGATAGAGAGGTCCCTTGTGACCAAGGAGGCTCTGTTTAAGGTCCGAAGGCAGTGTTATGAGGAATGTGGATCTACGGGAGGAGATGTACTTCAAAAACTAGGTACATTACTAATACAGTAGTTGCTTGTGGAGGCTCTCAGTCGTACAGGAAAGTTCCACAGTAGTTGTGTTCTGGTCTTTCTACTTGTGTGTGGCACAACCATGAGTTATGTCATCTTAACTTTAATGTTTCCCAACTTTTGGTTGAGCCAATGCACACATTTTACATCATAAAAATGTCACGGCACACCACCAAACAAAACTGTCACAAAAGGTGCATTTGATTATCGACCTTCATCTGTCGTCTCATGGAAGAGCCTTCTGCCTATAAGTTGTGTGCAGAATTATAAACAAATGAATGCCAGGTGTCAAATGAGGCCAGATCAGGCCGTACCGGTCAATTTTTTCTTAACTTCCTAAATAGTTATTCATCATGAAAATACACTCGTGCCATGGAATACGAGAAACCCGATGTCCAATTTTTTTTTGTAGCCTAACATTGAGACATAACAATCCTTGCAGGCATTAATTATTCATCCTCTGCAAAGAATGACTAATTCATCATACAGAGGTGCTGTGACCAGAAATATCCACATCTTTATTATAAGGCGCGCGCATCTGCAGGACCACCACAATGTCCACCATGGTTCATTGAATAAAAATAAAAACCCTTGATTTAAATGCATGATAAAATGTCATCAGATACCTGCGGTCACCAGTTCTTCTATTTATTGGCAGACACTGAGGAAGGGAGCCTGTGGGACCTTTGGGCCCTGGACTGGGTGCAGAAGAAGGCAGAGTGCTTGAGGTTCTGTGTGGGACGCTCGGTTAGCCATGTGGGACAGCTTCCCGTTTCCACGGACATCGAGTACGAGTTTGGCTCACGTAACGTGTACAACTTCCTGCAGGTTACATATTATAAGGTTAGTGACCAATCACAAATAGTGGCTCCTTGCTGGAGAGTGACCCCTTTCTTCATTTCATAGCGTTTCTCTTTGTTGAACATGTGGATGTTAGCCTCTATGTCATAGGTGTCAAACTCGGGTCCTGGAGGGCCGCTGTCCTGCATGTTTTCCAAGTCTCCCTGTTGCAACACACCTGATTCAAATGATCAGATCATCAGCAAGCTCTGCGGAAGCCTGACATTGAACCTGTTCATTTGAATCAGGTGTGTTGCAACAGGGAGACTTCGAAAACATGCAGGACAGCGGCCCTCCAGGACCGGAGTTTGAGACCCCTGATGTATAGTAAGCCATTTTTAGCTGAAAAAAATGACCATGTATTTGTAAGGCGTTTTTTTTGTCCTCAAAAAACGACAATGTATTGTAAGGCCTTTTTTGCCGAAAAAAAACCGACCATGTATAGTAAGGAGTTTTTAGCCGAAGAAAACGACCATGTATAGTAAGACGTTTTTTGACGAAAAAAAACCGACCATGTATAGTAAGGAGTTTTTAGCCCCAAAAAACGAGCATGTATAGTAAGGCGTTTTTAGCTGAAAAAACCGACCATGTATAGTAAGGAGTTTTTAGCCGAAAAAAACGACCATGTATAGTAAGGCATTTTTAGCCCAAACAAAACGACCATGTATTGTAAGTCGTTTTTTGCCCCCCAAAAAACGACCATGTACAGTAAGGCATTTTGAGCCGAAAAAAACGACCATGTATCGTAAGGTGTATTTTGCTGAAAAAAACGACCATGTATAGCAGGGGTCTCAAACTCAGGTCCTGGAGGGTTGCTGTCCTGCATGTTTTCCAAGTCTCCCTGTTGCAACACACCTGATTCAAATGAACAGGTTCAATGTCAGGCTTCCGCAGAGCTTGCTGATGATCTGATCATTTGAATCAAATGTGTTGCAAAAGGCAGACTTGGAAAACATGCAGGACAGCGGCCCTCCAGGACCGGAGTTCGACACCTGTTCTCC